GAGTAAAGGCTTATTGCTGAAATGTTAGTTGATGAAATTTAGGGAAATTTTAATTATTGGCATTCTTACTAATGCTTGGAATGTATTTTTGTTTAACTTTGTGTTTACGCTTATTTTGGAGTTCTTCCAGAGTCTGTGTTGTACCGATTTGTGCAAGTTCTTAAGAATTCCAGGCGGACGGTTGGATTCTTTATTAGTTCTTTAGTAGAATAGAATGTGCGATCTTCTGGATAGATCGAAAGTAGTGACCAGAAAGTTGATCACCTTGGCGTTGGTGTTAGCGATCCTTGAAGAATTTGAAGAGTTGTTTCCTAAATCGTTCAGTTTGTCGTGGAGTGGCGTTGCGATTTCAGGAACAAGACTCTTTGAATGGTACAGGTCCTAGACTCGCAGTTTCAAAGTTAAGTGTGTATTTACGCACGACAATTCTCTTTCTCATATATCTAAGGTTATCCATGAATTGTATGAGCGTAAAATATCTACAGGAGAGATAATAATGGAATGGCTACCATCGGGTCTGAATCTGAATCCGTACATAAATCTATGATCAATATTGAAGATCAAATTATATGAAGTTGGCAAACTATATGATACCAAATCAGACCTATGGGAAGCAAATAAAACTAGTATGTCGAAAATTGAACCTAAGCAATTCATCAAAATCAATGGATATTAGATTGCTGGCTCTTATTGAGAAGAGCCACTATATTAAAAGGTAAATGCTTCAAAGACATCATATATATTTATTTGTTCTATTATAGATGACGATCAATTGTTGACGATCTTATTACGTGGTTATTGAAGAGAAAAGTGATTTTCTGGTTTTGAATAACTCTAGTCTGCGTCTTTTATATTAAATCCAATAACGTTAATCGTCGGCTTTATCCAAAAATTTAATTTTTGATCGCTTCCTTCATGGTGATAGCTTTAATGAAAAAGTAAACCAATTCTTGCATGGAAGAACAGATGGAATTGTCTGCATGGTTGTGTTGGTGAAGGACGATGTCGATTTTGACGAGCCTTTCTCTCTTTTCGTTTGACTTCTTCCATTTCTCTTATGATGGCTTCGTAGTCTTTGGTTCCGATGGTGATGGAACATCAACAGACCAATTGGCGCGGTTTTGTGCTTGTGTTTCAAACCAGTTAGATCTAGTGGCTTGCAGTGTTTTTTGAGTTGGTCTTTGTATCTTCGACGAGGGCAATCCCAAGGTGTTTTTTCCTGAAGTTATAACTTTAAATAAACATATTTAAACTAAAGATTAAGTTTTGATGTCTAAATTAATCGTTTAAAATATAAGAAAAATCTTTCAAAGTAAATTCGAGTTACCAAGATTTATGTGATTTGGATAGTAACATCTAACAGATTATAGAGCGAGATCTTTGTAATTTGTAGCTCGTTAGTATGATTGTTAAGATTAACATGTTGCCATCCAACGAGGACAGATATTTTAATTCGATATCCGTTTTGAAATTTCATATTATGGGATGGTCAGATGCTAGCTTTATTGTCATCACCGACCAAATTTAAGCCATAAAGAGCGAGCACCATGAATTCATGTTTTATTGGAGATCAGTGGAGATCATCAATTGGTGATTGAAACTATTTTTTCCAATCATTCATGATTCGAGCTTAAATGCCTAATTGACAGCTTTGGGATTCATGACGATATTGTTTACTAATATTTGTAAGGTTACTTAATTTCCTTGAGTATTTACTAGCAACTATAGTTGAAAGAACAAGTCAAAAACAGTTCTACGTGAACATGCATGGATCTCCTAAAGGGTCACTTCAACGTGGTGTAATGTTTAGCAAGCTTGTCTCGATTCAGTTGTTCCATTTATTTTTCTCTAGGCTGCATTTTCAGAATTAAAATTTGCTCGTGCCTCATCAAATTTTATACGATAAAAATACATTTAAAAATAAAAAGAAAAGAAAAGAAAAAACAGACAGAGGGTTAAAGAGAAGTAATCACGAATCCGAAGTCAGAATATTATCATTGATAACTCTCTCCTCCAATTTGCAGACCCTAGTTTCTATATTCTTAATACTTGATATAATGCAAAAATATCCCAATAATAAAATCGGTCAATAACTATTTATGACTGTTTATACTGGGACTCATGCATGCAATTACAAGAAATCCATAAAAATACAGGTATACTTTACGCTAAGTCGTTAATCGGTTCCAGAGGTCACGACTTAGGTCAAAAAGCGACTCTAGCCGAAATAACCACACTATAGACCGAAAATAAGCACTCCTCATTGCTTATTACAGTATTTATGATATGTAGATACAATGTTCTGAAGAAAATAATTAATCTACACCTTATCTTCCAGCGATATAGACTTACGCTTAGCATTAGCACTTACACTGGGACTTTTCTTTGAGACATGGGCAAAAATGTATTCTAAATCACAACTGAAATGTAAATGAAAGACCTCAGTGGTAGAGCACAGATGTAAACAAGCGTTGGAGTTGGAGCGGAAAACAACGCACGAATGTCACCTGTCAATATGAACATCTACTGAATTTACGGTATTATGCTAATTTTCTTGTTTTTGATGATTTTATGATATATATTCATATAGTATACATAATATGTTTAAAAATTTATTTAAATATCATTTCATATGTGTTTATTTTTATTTTAGTGTTTTGACGTTTCTAGTATATAATGGTCGACGTATACTTGAATAAAACGACGTAAACTTGAATAAAATGACGTAAGCCGAGTTTTATTTTTCCATATAATATTTAAGAAAAAGCGACGTATCTTCGAAAATTACTTAACTCGAAACGACTTAAGTTGATGTATAACTGTATTTAAAATTTTAAAATCATATTTATTTTTCGCATATGAATTTTTAAAACTGTTTTTAAATCTTTGATTTTTTTCAATCATTCCTTCTCACCTGCTATCCTCATTCGCCTCACCTGCTATTCTCTTCCGCCTCACCTGCTATACGCCTCACCTGCTGTCCTCTTCCGCCTCACCTGCTATCCTCATTCGCCTCACCTGCTATCCTCTTCCGCCTTACCTGCTATCCTCTTCCGCATCACCTGCTATCCTCTTCCATCTTACCTGCTATCCTCTTCCGCCTCACCTGCTATCCCCATTCGCCTCACCTGCTATCCTCTTCCGCCTCCCCTGCTATCCCGCCTCACCTGCTATCCTCTTCCGCCTCATCTGCTATCCTCTTCCGCTGCATCTATGAAGCCCGCCGCACTGTTAAGGAATCACTAGATCAATTATGACTGAATAGTGAGTTCGCTCCTTCCTTTCGATTCCCTTTCTTTCGGTATTGTGACACATCTAAGCTTAGATATCTAGAGAAAAGAGACCAAAAACGTTGACAGTAAATATAAGGCTGATCATCATCGTCAGCAGATTAATATCGGTTGTGATTGTAGTACCGCTGTGCAAATGAGCACCTGATCGGTTTCCTTCATATGTCTGGGTTGAACATCCGAAATGGACCTGCAGCTAAAACAACAGCCGATATCCTTCAACATGATGACTCGCCTTGATCACAGACATATGGTCGGTGATTATATCGGTTGGAGGTGGAGGAAAATCCCTCCATGGCCATTGACTTCAATCTAGATAGGCTTTTCACTCAACGATGACGTGTTATCATCGTACTGACATTGGCATATAGCATTGCTGTCGGGTCTTGATGACCGTTTACATTACAAGAAGATTCATTCGATCTTCGAGACATCTTATTTTTACTCCTGCTAGGTTACAAGACACCCCTCTTCAACAGAAAAAAAAGTCTGGTTGTGGAACCGGTATAGTTGCAGATAAGTCAATCATATGCCAGGTAGTATTGGCTTACATGGTACAAGTAGTACTCGTAGTGTGAACTGGCGTAAATACTGTTAAAAAATAATATTTGTTTTATTTTATATTCTATATTCAACAGGTTGCCCCCCCCCCAAAAAAAAAACGCGGTAAATTCGGAAAGATGTGATACAAACGTTGAAAATTGGTGACGACTGATGTAACGGAAGACTTCAGGAAGAATCTCGACACTTTTCGTCAATCCCCATATCGGACATTTTTCTTTAAAACGTACGATAACTTGATGCTCAAATTCGGTGAGTTGCTTATCCATGCAAGAAGAGCAGAACGAAAGACAAAAGTTGTCTGCAAATAAACTTAAAATAACAACTCACAAGCAACTAATCTATCATAAAAGAACCAATCAGAATTAAGTAATCACGGGAGAGTCGAATGATTATTCAAGGTCATGAATATTCGAAAAATTTATTCAAAGTTATTTAAGGTCACTTATTTCTAAAAGAAATAAAAGAGATAATAAATTTGCCGCTATTTTATTGGGCATTCTGTAAAATAGTTAAAATATCCTTTTCACTTTTGGGGTATAATTATCAGATTTAAAATATAAAGTAAATTTTATCGTTTTTAACTATTTGGCGTGCATATTCACGTAAAATATTCTCGCCGTTTAAGGGTTAAATGTCTGTGAAAACATTCCTGATTAAAGTTTCAGATGAGATTGATTTTCTTTTAATTTGTTTTTTGGCAACTATTCTCTTTACGGGTATCAACTGGTAATCTAAGAAAACTAATGCACTATTTCACTTCTCTGAACATTATCCAGACTGAATGAAAAACGGTACCCAGGAAGCAATTCCAGAATAATGGACTCAAGAAGTATTTCGTTAAAGAATTCCTGTTTTACTCGCATACAGGTTCATCTAATAATGTCAGTCCGTCGGTTTAATAAAATCAACACGCAACCATTTTTGAACTTTTGCTTCTGCTTCAGACAAAACAGAAAAGCACAGAATGAATACAATCTTTACACATTTATTTCCATTGTTAACCCCCAGGGCATAAAAAATGCTACTTTTTAATGTAATTATCTCCCCAAAACCAAGTTTCTTGTTTTTCTCAAACTTATCGATGAATTCAAATTTTGGTTACTTAACTTTCGTTCTCTTGGGTCTGAACAGATATTGAATCGATTCTTAAATTTCATTTTCTATTTCCAATGATAGATAGATAAACAAACTGAGATAGAGAAACAGGGAGTTGTGAACAGGCGGAGATAGATAGATAGATAGATAGAGAGAGAGAGAGAGAGAGAGAGAGAGAGAGAGAGAGATGGGTCTTATGAATAGCTGGAGATAGAAAGAGAGAGGGGGGTTATGTACAGTCATAGATAGATAGATAGATAGATAGATAGATAGATAGGGGGCGCTTATGAACAGTTGATGATAGATAGAGAGAGGGGGGTTATGTACAGTCATAGATAGATAGATAGATAGATAGATAGATAGATAGGGGGCACGTATGAACAGTTGGTGATAGATAGAGAGAGGGTACAGTACAGTTGGTATGACGCTTGCGTGGTTTTGTAACGGCCCGGTTTCAATTCTCGGTAGTGGATGCCCACTGCTGATGAGTCCCAAATATAGGAAGAAACGGCCGTCCAGTGCTATCTGCATTCTGTTGAGGCTTTTTCTAGACTCGATAAATTACTTATGATTATTTCAATCCTTCTAATAATTCCTTTTACTTGCATATCCTTGCTTGAACCGGCTTCTAATGCCCTGGATGGAGCGGTTACGGATAGACGTCGTGGCTCGTGGGGGCACTGTCCTATGAGTAAGGGAAACTCAGAAGAGTTACTCCACGGAATTTGTGAAGAGCGGCGCTATATCGAATACTAGCAGGAGAGCCCGGCGTTGCCCGGGGATGTAACAGTAAGAGATAGATCAATATCGACCATCATAAAGACTGAAAAATAAAATTGACAAAGATTATGGTTTAAGGTTGACGGACACGCATGTCTTAATTAGTTATTTTTTGTGTTTTTTTTTTTTTTTACGAATTGGTCAAACACAAACTCAAACAAAAACATTGTTTTCAATCGTTATGAGTCTATCGATTGAATAGAATTTTATTATAAACAATTGTATTGTAAATGGAATTTTTAAAGCATTCTGAATGTAAAAATAAAGAAAAAGGTGTGCAAGACAATAAGAAACACTACCTGCCAAAGAAAAGTGAAGTTCTGTTGAAATCGGTTGAAAAATGTAGGAAATCCGATCCCATATATAAACGAACACACATACACACACAAACAACCTGGGTTTTATAATAAGTATAACTCGATATGAGTTGTCCCCCTTCCATTCTCGCGATTCTTCTTAATTGTGTTTTCAAATTGATTTCGTGCAAAAACAATTGTGTTTTTCCAATTTTTGGCACTGTCAGAACCACCGCAAGGTAATTTTACGCAGTCCTGGGAAGTTTTGTTGAAATCGGTTGAAAATGTAGGAAATCCGATCCAATATATAAACGTACACACACACACACACACACACACACACACACACACACACACACACAATCTGCGTTTTATAATAAGTAAGATAATTAGTTGCCGCTAAATGACTGAGGCCCGTTGGCACAGTTGGTATAATGCTTGATCGTGATGGCCCGGGTTTCGATTCTCGGTGGTGGATGCGCACTGCTAATGTAGTCCCAAATATAGTTAAATACATCGAGTCTAGAAATTATGTCTATTTATATATATATATATATATATATATATATATATATATATATATATTTTATCGAATCTAGAAGTATCTCTAACTATATTTGTGACTATATATATATATATATATATATATATATATATATATATATATATTTTTATATAAATAAAGTAAAATTGTCCACGTATGCTTCTTGTATGCAGATATAATAAATAGGCCAGTTAAATAAAATGATATTACCGAAGAGATATTGTTGCTTTGCATGATTAAGTTTGTAGAAGTCTTTCTGAGGCAATTGTATTTTTTGACTAAGTCTAAATTTCTATTTAATTCTAGAATGTATGATTTTTTTTTTAAGTTTATGTCAAAGACTTTTCAAATTTCGAAATTTTAAAATTTATTCACACAAGAATTTAGGTATAACTCAAAGAATATCTCTTCGGTAATATAACACATGCGAAAAGATTCACCGGAAAAGAAAGTTTCACTTCATTTATCATTTTTTATTCTATGCATATCCAAAAATTCCGATTTCCAAAATCTTTCTCATCAGGTTTCCATTTTGTCAAAGGCCTACGAATATACAATGAAGATTATTAGTTTTATTATCAATATTATTGATATTTGCTTCTTTTATCTCACGAATTTATATTCTCGGCCTACCATATATAGATAGTAGTCGTGGCTCGTGGAGGCACAGTCTTATGAGTAAGGGAAACTCGAATGAATATTTGATCGAAAGGCGCTATATCGAGTCAAATTCGTTGCCTTTTCCTTGGTACAGTTGATATGACGTTTGCCTCATATCGTCATGATCCGGGTTTCAATTCTCGATAGTGAATGCACACTGCTGATGAGTCCCAAATATATGACGAAACGGCCACCCAGTGCATTCTGTTGAGGTTTCTTCTAGACCCGATAAATTATTTAATTATGGTTATCTCAAATCCTCCTAATAATTTATATATATACAAATTCTCTTGGTAGCATGGTTAATTTCTTATACCTTCTCTTTTCATCGATTTCGTATTTTCTTTCCTTTTTTATTTAAAATAATTATTTTTCGCTTTTATGGAAATTTTTCCAAAAATGTTAAAAGAAGTGATGTTTCAAAAATTGTAATTTTAAATAAAATCATTTATTAACAGCATTGTTAACTACATGATGAGATGTGTTTTAAACGTCGAAACAAAACTTGCAATTTTATAGTAGTAACTTGCATGTTCTAATGTAACAGTATATAATATGTGTGTGTATGTATGTATGTATGTATGTAGATAGATAGATAGATAGATAGATAGATAGATAATGTATAAATGGGTACAGCAGCAATTAAGAGGTGTTTCCAATGTCTTCAAGACCTCCAGTCTCCGGATCAGTAGCTTTGCTGCCCGGAATAGTTGTAATGTATTGTGCATTTGAGAAACTTCGCCGGAATGATTGAACCAATCTTACTGTATGGATCAGAAACTTGAATATTATCTGCTCGTCTTGAAAAACGACTGGATGGAATATATGCAAATTTAGCTAAAAAAAAATGTTGAACCTCAATTGGAGATCCCATGCAACCCTTAAAACAATTTGCGGACAACTGAGACAGATCTCTCTTAAGTTCAAACAAAATTGATTAGTTTGCCGGTCACTGCCACCAAGCAGACGGGGGAATCATCTCATCCTTATTCCTATGGCATCTTTCTGGAAATGTCCTCTCACGAAAATTAACTTTCCCAGACACCATAACTCGGAACTCAGGGTTGGACATTGTAGATCTGGGAAGAGTATTACAGGACTGAACAGTGTGGAAAGGGATTATCAATGGAGTTCCGACCATAGGGAGGTCGAGGGATGATGATGATGATGATGGAATGAGATAGGTCCTATATCAATTAGCTGGATGTCTTCCACAAACGTTTCCGCGACATCTGTGGCCATACTTTTGAGTATAGGATGTCCAATGCTGATCTTCTCGTAAAAAAACAATATTGATGGAATTGAGACCTTCCTGATACAGTCACAACTTTGCAGATCTGTTCATGGTGCAAGGATGAGTGACGTCAGAATACCTAAGGTCCTCATGTTTATATGTTTTTGATAGGGGAAAAAGGAATGTTAGACGACTGTTGCTCAGCCATAAAGATAAGATAAAGAGTAACCTCTCAGCTGTTAATATGCTTCAAACTTCATGCGTGTTGCCCTTGATAGAAATAACTGGCGATATTTGTGCCAGAGTTGTATCACAAATTTCGAAATGAGTCGTATTGACCGGATTTTCGCCGGTGTCTTTCGTCTCTTAAGACAAAAGACAATGGCGGAAAGTGTCTACAAATATTTCTTTTGCTATGTGCCGACTTGATAGACTGGAGAGACTGAAATATAAGATATTTTCAAGCATAAAATCTGAATGCTGTTGTCGTAGAAATCGACGGGGGTGTCTCTCAACATCAAATGCAGGGTGCGATGGGTAAATTATCGCCAATTTACATTTTTCATTTTCTGCATCTACGTTGTTTGTCTTTGAATTTGTCGGCTATTACAGTATAGTAGAGTCAGTTGGGCACCCTCTTTGCGAAACACCAAGTTACAATTCACTCTGCCATAAATTTGGAAGCAGTATGCTGTACTGCTTGGCATTCGCTCCAGAAGCTCCAATACGAACATTTCAGAGCGTTTGGGTGTAAATCTGAAAACAGAACAGAAGATTCCGAAAGAGTTGGATGAGTCTAATGGTGATTACGAAGGTGTTTGTAGTTGTCACTAGTGATGGTGACGTTTCTCCATTCATCTTCACACATGGCCACGGACTCAACACGGAGGCCTACATCAAGTGTCTTGAGGAGGTAGTGCTGCCCTGGTTTATGAGGGTGGCTACTGAGAGACCCTATGTCTGGCAACGGGACTCTGCAACATACCACAGAAGCCAATCATGGAAGTCAGACAATTTCTGGGACCACATCAACAATTACATCCGGCAACCTAACTTCCAGATTGCGGCCATCTGGATTATTGTGTGGGACGCAGTCGAGCGAGAGACCAACAACACTAAAGTAACACTAAAGACGAACTGAGGACAAGAAATAAGGCAACATTTACCAGCTTATACAAGCAGACCGTTCAGACGAGATGCACGAGATTTCGCATTTGTCTGGAGGCTGTAGTTGAAGCTAATGGTGATTTCATTGAAAATCTAAATTTTAATATTTAAATTTACTCCTTGGTATTACAAGATATTTTTTTGTAATTTTGGTAAATATATCTGTTAAAATGAGATTTTCGTGTTATTTTCATTTTAGCATCATTTAAACGATAATTTATGCATCGCACCTTGCATATCTGATAAAATGAGATTTCAGTGTTATTTTCTTTAGTGTCATTTAGACGACAATTTATCCATCGCACCTTGCATATCTGATAAAATGAGATTTCAGTGTTATTTTCTTTAGCGTCATTTAGACGACAATTTATCCATAGCACCTTGCATATCTGATAAAATGAGATTTTTGTGTTATTTTCATTTAGGTGTCGGTTAGACGACAATTTATCCATAGCACCTTGCATCTTACTTATAAAACGCAGAGTGTGTGTGTGTATGTGTGTGTGTGTGTGTGTCTGTACGTTTATATATTGGATCGGATTTTCTATATTTTTCAACTGATTTCAACAAAACTTCACAGGACTGCGTAAAATTACCTTGCGGTGGTTCTGACAGCGCCAAAAATTGGAAAAACACAATTGTTTTTGCACGAAATCAATTTGAAAACACGATTCTGTCGCCAGAATGAAAGGGGGACAACTCATATCGAGTTATACTTATTATAAAACCCAGGTTGTTTGTGCGTGCGTGCGTGTGTGTGTGTGTGTGTTCGTTTATATATGGGATCGGATTTCCTACATTTTTCAACCGATTTCAACAAAACTTCACTTTTTTTGGCAGGTAGTGTTTCTTATTGTCTTGCACACTTTTTTTCTTTATTTTTACATTCAGAATACTTTAAAAATTCCATTTACAAGACAATTGTTTATAATAAAATTCTATTCAATCGGTAGACTCTTAACGATTGAAAACAATGTTTTTGTTTGAGTTTGGGTTTGATCAATTCGTAAAAAAAAAAAAAAAATTAAGACATGCGTGTCTGTCAACCTTAATCAATAATCTTTATGATGGTCGATACTTGATCTATCTCTTACTGTTACATCCCCGGGCAACGCCAGGCTCTCCTGCTAGTATCTGATAAAATGAGATTTCAGTGTTATTTTCATTTTAGCGTCATTTAGACGAAAATTTATCCATCGCACCCTGTACGCAGTTAAAAAAGAAAGATACCCATGATAACCATTTATTGGAAAGTTTTTATTGCGAAGCAAGAGTTTCGATCAATTAACATTGATATTCTACCCAGTTTATGAACACACTATTGATTTTCCAAGTTCAAAAACACCAAGAAAAGAGAAAAATAGATGATAGATAACTAAAAGAATTAAATCCCATCCGAATCTGAGAGGAATCGCTCCAAAAATTAAATGCGCGACATTGTAAAACATTCGCATGAACCAAAAGCTTGAAAAACAAAAACAGACTGTTTCCCTTGTATTTTTGTAGCATATATACCATTTAAATTTATTCCAGCAAATATTGGAATCAGGTATTATCTGAATAACACTATATATAAGTTCATAGATAGATAGATAGATAGATAGATAGATAGATAGATAGATAGATAGATTTTGCAGAAATAATTCTGAAAAAAATCAAATTGGTTTAAAAATGAGAACTGGAAAAAATTCTTAGTTCTTGCCGACTCGTTTCGTCTTTCGAATTTATCAAGGCAAGCATTGAAACAGGAGTGTCTTTTTTAAGTTTTGGATTCGATGTAAGTGTGGCTACAAAACATTTCTCTTGCCTTGATAAAGTAGGAAGACGAAACGCATCGGCAAGCACGAAGAATTTTTTCACATTGTCGTAGATAGATAAATTCTAGTGATGGGAGTAAAAATATGATCCAATTCATCAGATCTACAAATTCAAAAAGAAAACAGAAAAGAACAACTCCGGAAATAAAAATAGAATTTAGAGAGAGTGTAAGTATGAGAGTGTGGGACAAATGTTAGTGTTAAAGAGAGGGGTAACATACGAGAGAAGGTGGGAGATTAAAAGTTAACAGAGAGGGTTTTTTTACTAGAGGTGAGTGGAAGGGGGAAATATGAATGTTGTCGGATGTCTAATACATTAAAGATGCATTTCGTGGTGACATACACACATCATAGACGGTCTAATGTTAAAGATCAGAATAAGAGGGAGGAGAGAAAAGGAAAGAAGAGGTGGGGGGAGAGAGATGGGGCGGGGGAAACTAAAATTGAAGGACATTTCCTGAAAGGGCTGATGTGTAATTGAGAATATATATATATATATATATATATATATATATATATATATATATATATATATATATATGAAGAAAAATACAGAAAAAGTTGTGCTCTTATGTCCATCGTCTTTTGTGTTAAATTTTTATATGTTCTAATGTTAATTATGTTTAAAATGAAACTGTCCATGAAGATGGTCTTAAATAGACCGAAACGTCCGACGTCGACTTTATATTAACATTAATACAGCATAATTGCATATTAAGATTTTTGTTTGTTTTTTTCTGTATTTTTCTTCATACTGTCGGATCTATATCCATATATTTGCTTACATATATATATATATATATATATATATATATATATATATATATATATATATATAAATCGTGTACATTATTCCTTATCAAAATGGTACTCAAAATTTCAGAAGCAAGGTAATCATCAGGGTTAACAATCCATGCTTGATAATTGCCTAATATGTGAAACTTTGAGTAGCATCCTGCGGTAATGTATGATATCTGTGTGCCGCGCCTCTTCAGAACGTTCGCAATTATGGCCTTCTATCTATCTGGTTGGGTATCTTTGCTCTCACGCCTGTCTAGCCATACTTCGACAGGCTTACTCCCTTCCCATATTTATTTAGCTCTCAATATGTCCCGTGAGGGTTAAGCTTTCCAAGCCACCTCTCTCATGTGTCCAAGGAATCAGCTGTATTTTACATGTTTCTGAGTAGAGGGGTTCTTTCAGTCGCGATTGTCTTTCAGATTTCCTTGTTGCTTACACGCTCCGTTCATGTATTTTTCAATATCCATCTGTATGACTGGCTCAGTATGCTCCATTTCGTCTGTCACGGGGGGTGGGGGGGATTAGCAACACTGTAGGATGATATATAAGATTTATCAAATGGTGAAAGTAGTGTAAATGAGTCACCTGTCAGCCGCCTAGATTTCGTGTCTCAATAAAAACTCAATGGAGAAGACAATGGAAAATCACACCATTAACCGAAGAATAATCATCGCAACAAACATAAATAACGATATACTTGTTTTAATCTCTCTATCTATCTCCCTCTCACCCTCCCTCCCTCCCTCCCTCTCTCTCTCTTTCTCTCTCTCTATCTATCTATCTATCTATCTGGTGTGATTGATCTGTAAAAAGACTATTTAAAAAAAAAATTAAATAATTATGAATATTTGATTTTTTTTTAAATCTACAGCATTAGTCACTTTCTTTTATTAAGCATTAAATACAATTTACAATTTAATTTACAATTAGCCTAAAGAGTGTTTATAAGCGTCCTTAAATTTTAAAAGTCTGAAAAACTAACGTGGTATTTTTACTTCATTTTATAAATACTTGGTGCAAAATAAGATCCTTACATTTGCCTTCATAAACTCCATCAGACGGCGAAACGCTCCGGTAAAGACATATTTAACTCTTATAATTTCATTCAGTCACTCATATATATATATATATATATATATGCAGAATATCTTCATTCAAAAATGTTGCATTTAATAATTTCGATATATTATGTCTCTTTTTATAATAATCCTTTCTAATTCTCCCATTTGCTTCTTAATGATAAGTTGAAATACATCAAGGAAGGCGCCGTAGTTTTTGTTAACTCGAGTACTTTCGATCTCGTCCGAGATCATCCTCAGGAATGAATTCCGAAGACAAACTTATTCTAATTGTGATCGTTGTGAGGGTGATTTTTGTAAAAACTCGCGAACGCGTTCTGCTATACTTACTTTATAATTGTTAAATTTGTCCGTTGTAGATATGGTGTTTTTGCAAACAAGCGTTCCAATATAAGGGAGATAACCAGAGATGGTAGAAATACAAAATAAAATTAACAGTTGGTTATATGCATTTTAAAACGTTGCTACTACACTGTTAATATATTTCTTCCAGTGTTAATCTGGATGCTTTTGATGTAGTTTGCCTCGAATATTTGAAGTATTCGTATTCTCGAGGCCGTCAAAATCAAGAGCAACAAACACTGCACAAAATTTGTAACGAGTGTCGTAGCAACGTTTTAAAAGAACTTCAGCGAATAATAACAACTAGAACAGATGTACGTGAGCGAATTACGGAAGCCCCCCAATATTATTACCGATGTCACATCGTACAGACTTCATAAATCGCTTCGGTTCAATATTTAACCTTTCAGTTTTTTGTTTGTTTGTTTGTTTGTTTTTTTTTTTGTTTTTTTTCACTAGACAAATATTTATCGAATTCCCAGTAAGTCTCATTCATTTCAAAATAAATTAAACTACTTCGACGGAAAATAGGCGGACGCTCTCTCGACGCTATACTATTAATAATTTAAATATATATATATATATATATATATATATATATATATTATCTAGATATTATATATGCGCAGTACTTATTGGAATAATATACATAATTATTTTGATGTGAGTTTGTAAGCCTGGGTTCCAAGCCCTTTCGATCGTCAGACTAACACTCCCTCCTCTCTATCTCTCTCTATCTATATATATATATATATATATATATATATATATATATATATATATATATATATATATATATATATATATATATATATGGGGGTGTATAAAAATTAATAACTTTTATTTTTATTACTTCAAACGTTATTTTAAGTGGATATCCGTATTTGATTAGACGTTCCGTTTTATTTTAAATAGTTTTTTTTTCATCTACGGGCCTGTGTACATTAGAGAAAACCAACACCCTGTCCGGCATCCCTTCACTGCAAGATAAAAATTGCACAGTTAATATTATTATAAAATCTCTCTATCAGCGAAGAAAATAAAATAAAGGCGTAACATTCGTATGCGAGAATGAGCGATTTACAGAAGCCCCCCAAAATATTATTACCAATGTCACATCGTATGGTCTTCATAAATCACTTCGGTTCAATATTTACCTTTTTAGATTTTTTTTTTTCACTAGACAAATATTCATCGAATTTCCAGTGTGTCTCATTCATTTCAAAATAAATGAAACTACCTCGACCGAAGATAGGCAGGTGGTGCTACAGTTGTATGTACAGGGTAATATTAATATTTTAAATTCAAATTGACTTTTGCTGCCATTAATTCAACTGAAACAAGACCGTTCGACATTAACAGTAGCTTTTTTTTCTTGAATACTATCAGAAACACGCCAAAAGGAATTGATTTTTTTATGCCAACTACGTGTTGATTCTGAGAATTCTTGCAGGAATCACTCTATGGTGTGAACGTGGTATGATTCCATCTGAACTTTCTTTTGAGATGAAATATTTCTATGTGATAACAAAATTCTATTTATCATCTTTTTTTTTCGTTCCATCTTGACTTTACACTGTCTTCACAGTTCCTGCTATTTCTTTTTTTTTTTTTGTTTTGTTAGAATTTGTTAAATTAAAATTTTTGTCGGTAAATAGAATTTACAATTCATATTATGTTTTTTTTTTCAGAGCGATTTTTTACCATCTTATAATTTCATTTACATTCTACTATGTTGTTATTATCACGCAGATGTTGTGTTTTATTGAAAGAAGCTGACAAAACAGTAAAATTGATCCTTGGATTGATAAGAAATAGCGCGCACACACACACATATATATATATATACCTATATATATATATATATATCGCACATATAGTGATGGTATTAAAAAAACAGTGCTCGATGTAATACAATAGAGTTATTAAGTATGTATTTATAAATATACATATTATCCCTACAGTACTACGATTGGGAGTTTTATCCACAACGTAATCTTTAGTTGCTGAGTATAGACTGACCGCTACGTAATTTAAATTTTAATAAAAATATCTGGTTGTCACAATGTCGCAGTTACATATGATGCTATTTTTTTTTACAAAAATTTTAAAAATATATTTGGCATTTAAAATAAACGGGATATATATATATATATATATATATATATATATATATATAAGTATGCAAAAAATATACATTATTTTAGAGCTGTGAGTATGATTTTTTTATATAAAGCATAAATGGAGATTACTTGTTCTTTAAAAAAACATTTTACATTATAAATCAATCTGGATCTACGTATTTAAGCAAATATTTATTTTTATGTCTGCATATAACCATCAATTCATTTCTATTGTTTAATAAGCTAAGATTACTTAAGTGTTTTAAGATAACTAATTTTTCAACAAGACATATATAACAACTACTTCCTTACATATATATATATATATATATATATATATATATACACAAAGAAAGAACAGTAAGATATATAATCCGGTGTTCTTACGGATATTTTTATTTTTACAAAATAGTGCTCAATGTAAATTTACAGAGCATTAATATTATAAATTATCTGATTTAAAATATGCTTTTTCGCTACACA